ATATTTTACAATTCTTCTGATTTTCAATAGGGTTCATCCTTGGGTGATTATGAACACTCATACCAAGTTTTGTCAAAATCCGTCAAGAATTGTGCCTTTTAGAGTGTTTACGAGCTAAAAATTTAACGGACGGACATGGGTGACGGCAATATAAAAAAAAGGTATAAAAAATCAGTCATGAAAAAAATCAACCCACTAGATTAATTAGGTCACGTGCTAGAGCAGTCCAAAGTTACGAATTTGGCTTTTTACAGACAGCTATAAAACCGGAAGTTCATGTCGGAGGGCAAATGTCAAAGTATCAACTAATAGCCAAGGTCAATGACTTTTGATCTTATAAGGTCACCAAAGGTCAAGGTCAGGTGGTGTGAGCGGTTAAAGTTGCAAAAAAGCAAAAGCGAAATTAGAAATTCTGCTCCCAATGTTTTTTGAGCAATCAATTGCAGAATACATACACATCAACATTTACCTTGAAGCCCCATTTTGAGTTTTTTACGAAAGTGTGTTTTTTCAATATGGCGGCCAAAGTATCACTTACGGTCTAAAAAATTGAAAAATTTGATCAAAAAAGTGAGCTATGAATTTTCGAATTTTGTAATTTTTCAAAAGTGCTATCAGTCAGAAATTACAGGTAGATTGTAAAAATGAAAAACCCGAAGAAAAATCGATGCAAAAATGCGCCTTCTAGCGCCCATTTTCGACTTTTTTCACATGTTGAACTGTGGCACTTCCGGTTTTGCAAAAATGTTCCAATTTATTTTATGCACATTGTCACCTATATAGAAGGTCAATGTAATTTGAAAGGTTGCTGCATCTACTGCAGTCTAAGGTGTGGATGAAACAAAAAAAATTGACATTTCGATAACAAACTGGGACTTTGCTTCCGCACAACTAGAGCCACACGTGGCACAGAGTGGGACTTTGCAAATGTAGCAAATTGCAAAAGACTCTGATAAAATCAACCTGCTACGATAATTACATCTCGTCTAAAGTTGAGAAGTTTTAATTCTTTGGAAGATTGTTGCACTGTAAGTAGACCGACCTCACAAATGAAAGCGTCAGAAGATAGGCAAGTTCAATGACCTTTCACATTGAAAGATAGCTTGCCAGTCAAGGTAATATACGCCCACTGGCAGCTTTGATTTTGAATACAGATATTTAGCAGTACAGTAACAATCATCAGTATGAAATATTCAACCTTCAGTCATACACTTCTTTAGAACTCTTTAGGGCGATACTGAATAATATATTGAGTATGAGTTATTGCCCTTGTTCTTGAAAAAGTGTTCAATTTTTAGCTCGTGAAAACTCTAGAAGGCAAATATTCAATCTTCAGCGTGGGACTGAATAATAAAACCAAGTTTTGTCAAATTCCTGCAAGAATCATGCCTTTTAGTGTTTAAGGGCTAAATTTGATAGCCTTTTCAAGAACAAGGGCAATAACTCATACTAAATATTTTTCAATTCTTCTGATTTTCAATAGGGTTCATCCTTGGTTGATTAAGAACATTCACACCAAGTTTCATCAAAATCCGTCAAGAATTGTGCCTTCTAGAATGATTACGAGTTAAAAATTGAAAGCGTTTTCAAGAGCAAGGGCAATAACTCATACTAAATATTTTTGATTCTTCTGATTTTCAATAAGGTTTATCCTTGGCTGATAACAAACACTCATATGTCAATAAAGGTCAAAATGGAAAATATGGAAATTTCAAAACCCGTTTTTTGGAACTATATAATAAAACAAACTGGCCAAAATAATGTGTGCAAAGTTCCTTTTTGAACAATGTATGCTTTGCGAGTTATCCCCCTTCCCCAAAATGTAAACAATTAGTAATTCAACCCGGATGTGCCACGCCCATCTCAACTTTTTTGTCATAGGTTAATTCATATTCAAATTGTCTTGCTGTGTTTCAATGTTCTACATCAAATAGGTCATAAGAGACAGAAATATTGTAAAAAAAAAAATCAAATTTGAAAAATTCACCATTTTCAAAATTTCAATGTTGCTTTAAAAAACCATTGTTATCGCTGGAAAGAGCATGAAAAGCACATTAAGAATCCGAAAAAAATTAACCCTCTAGGTTAATTAGGTCATGTGCTATAGCAGTCCAAAGTTTTGGCTGTTTTCGGACAGCTATAAAACCGGAAGTACATGACGGAGATCAAATGTCAAAGTATTAACTTATAAAGGTCAAGGTCATCAAAGGTCAAGAACACGAGATATGACCCTTCAAACTTTGAAATTCAACCGGAAGTTGCAAAAAAGCAAAATCGAGAATCAAAAAACGGCTTCCTAATATCATGTTTTTTTTTTTATCTTCTTTCATTTGACACCAAAATCATTTAAATCTGATAAGCCTGTCTGAATAAATATCAAATCATTTCAGAAAAATCAAAATGGCGGCCAAAGTTTCACATCTGGTCCGGATTTTTTTTCTTCGTTTTTTTTTGTCATAACTTTGTCTACCTATCAGCATAAAATTTTTGGACCTATACCAATTACACCGGAAATTATTCAACTGGAAGTGAAAATCGATTTCCTGTTTAACCCTGAACTGAAATTGAAAATTTGACTGTACCATTTTGTTTACTTTCTTCAACTGTCTTTGCTCAATTTTTTTCAGATTAATCAAACAAAAAGCAAAAAGTGCTACTCTTTCAGATTTTGCCAGTAGATTCCAAAAATGCAAACCCAAAGAAAATCGACCGAAAAATACGTCGTCTAGAGCCGATTATCTATTATTGCACACATTAAACTGTGGCACTTCTGGTTTTGCAAAAAAGATCCAAAATATATTTATGAACATCGTTGCCTATATCTAAGGTTCGTGAATGTTGAATGGTTGCAGCAACTTTAGTAGTCTAAGCTAAGGAAGGTGTGTAAAAATCAAAAAAAAAAAAAAAAAATTTCGATAACAAACTGGCCTAAGGCCTATCTATGACTATGGAGTTGTAGATCTAGGCTAATATTTATTTTTATGTCGATTGCATTGATAAGTCACAAATGTCCCACTCTTTGAACACTCCTATGTCAAAAGTAGGGACACAAATGGAATCCTTGTGGAATTCCTTTTCAGAAATAACTATTTCTGCATTTTGGACCTATCGGTTTCTGAGTTATGGTCATATGAATATTGGTGGCCACACACATATTATTTCACAAGTCTCGTACAACAAAGCAACGAGTTTCCCATCATCTCCACAAAATTCATGGAACAAGTAAGTTCAACTTTGAAATGAAAATATATAGTCAATTACCTACTAGATTTGCTACTGCTGACCAACATGGTATGGCTTCACGTTTCGCGCCTTTTGTGAGAATAGGTGAAATGGGAAGGGACAAAATGGGAATAGACCATTTTGTCTATTATCTTGAAAACCCATGTAAAAAATCTTTCACGCAAATTTGTCAAGGGAATTGTGGTTCCATTCTATGATTTATCCTTATCACATGCACACTTTGATCAATCTTTATGCGAGTTGCTTAAATAAAAAGACCTTTAGGCCTATATTACTTAACTTTACTGAAATTTATCTATTTTATCAATCAAGAAATTAACTATCCTAGTATTGTTGATAATGCATTCAGTATTGAACCATGCGATGAAAGTGAAAATGACAAGATGTCCCTGGAAGAGAATAATGAAACTCAACAAGATGATGACATTAATGAAAATTATGTAACAAATAATTCAGACAGCAAAGATAGTAGCATTGTTTGTGTGTCAAACTCTGACTATGAAAACAACAGTAACAACACTAATGAAAATCATGTAACAAATAATTCATACAGCGAAGATATTAGCATTGGTTGTGTGTCAAACTCTGACTATGAAAACAACAGTAGCAACACCAATGAAAATCATGTAACAAATAATTCAGACAGCGAAGATATTAGCATTGGTTGTGTGTCAAACTCTGACTATGAAAACAACAGTAGCAACACTAATGAAAATCATGTAACAAATAATTCAGACAGCGAAGATATTAGCATTGGTTGTGTGTCAAACTCTGACTATGAAAACAACAGTAGCAACACTAATGAAAATCATGTAACAAATAATTCAGACAGCGAAGATATTAGCATTGGTTGTGTATCAAACTCTGACTGTGAAAAGAATAGTAGTGTTTCAACAGATTCTAGCAGTACATCTGATTTTTTATCATCTGAGAATGAACTCACTGATAGTGAAAGTGAATTGTCACCAGAGAAAACTAAGCAACCTTACACAAAGGATGAATCCTTAGCTCTTTGTATATTAGCTTATGCTGCACGATTTAAGCTTACTGGAGATGCAACTAAATACCTCCATAAACTGTTATCATAGAGAGCTGAACCTTCCTCCAGTGTATCTAAGATTCAGAATGATGTATGCACAAACTTCAATTGTTTCAGTTATTGTACTGTATGTTTTTCAGTTTATGAAAGTGACAATTACATATGCCAAACAAAAAAACTGTGGAAATTACAGATATAAAGGTGGATTAATAGCACAATCCACTAATATACAGCCAAAATCTTCATTTATTATTGCAGATGTAGAAAGTCAATTGCAACAAATACTGGAGAAAAAGGGTGTCTGGAAAAGTGTACAAGATTTGAAAAAAAAACTTAAAAAATCCCAAAACAGCTATAGGAGACATCACAGATGGTGATAACTCTTGCTTTCTTTGTTCGCCATGAAATTTTCTAAACAATGAAAATCATCTCAGTGTAATTTACAATACAGATGGTATACCCCTGTATTCCTCATCTAATGTGAAGCTATGGCCTATATTTATAGCAATAAATGAATTACCAGTTCAAAGTTGATTTGCTAGAGACAATATTATTTGAGCAGGTATTTGGCAAGGAAAAGACAAACCCCCATTTCTGCAATATTTGTTGAGTTTCGGTGAACATATGTGCAAATTGCATGATGAAGGCATTACAGTTCACCCTCCAGGTATAGAAGACACAATAAATGTGAAGCTGGCTGTACTTTGTGGAAGCCTACATGACCATGTTTAATGGTGAATTTGGATGCTCTACCTGTGAGGAACCTGGTATAACAGAAAGTCGGGGTAAAGGTTATGCCAGGTTTTATCCTTTCAGAGAATCAGATGCAAAACCTCAAATACGTAATTCAGAAGATATTAAAAATGCAAAAAAAACAAACCGACTAAAAGGTGTATGTGGTCTAACTGGATTAATTGCAATGCCATGGTTTGATGTTGTCTGGGGAATCGGTGACACAAAGAAGCTACTTTATTTATGGTTCTCACAAACATCATCTGGACAACAATATTTAGTTGGAAATCACTTGAAAAAAATTTCTGAACAACTCAATAACATTCAACCACCTGATTATGTTGAACGTCTACCAAGAGATATTGTAAAAACATTATAGTAATTTCAAAGCTACAGAGCTTCAAACCTGGTTGCTATTTTACTTAATACCATGTATGAAAAATACTTTCAAATGAATATCATTCCCATCTGTGCATGCTGTCTGAGGGGGTATATCTGTTGCTAGGACAAAACATAAATGAAGAAGAATTAAGTAGATCAGAAGAATTGTTACAAGAATTTCATAAATTATTTCCTGTATTATGTAACAAGGGCTCCTGTGGCCTTAATTTCCATAATGTTGGCTTCCATTTAGCATCTTTTGTGAGGAAATGGGGCCCCTTGTGGGCATGGAGTTGCTTCCCCTTTGAGGATGCAAATGGGGAACTCTTAAGCACTGTGCATGGTACTGGTGATGTCACACGACAAAGCATCAAAATGAAGGAAATAGAGTTGAGATTGAGGTGTATTGATCTAAATCTTGTTAGTTTAAAAAGTGAGAAACACTTTATATCTAAACTAACTAATGCATCCAGACCATGGAAAGGAACTGCTGTTCAAAATTGCGAAATTACTGGTCGTAAATCTGCTATACGAAACCGAAGTAATATTGAACAGTTGCTGTTCTCTACAGGAGCAAGATCTGCAACAGTGTTGTGAACGGTTCAAAGGGTCCTTGTTAATGGTCAAAAACTTTACTGCAAGGAATATTCACGCATGAAAAGAAGAGTATGCTGTATAGTGTGCACAAATGAAGGAGACATTGTCAGCATTCAATATTTTGTATTAAATACAGACACTGGCATTGCCTTTGCTGTAGGTGACCTGATGGTGTCTACAAGTAGGTGCTTTTTAAATTCAAAAAGTGGGAGGCACATTGTTAAAGTGAAAAAAAAAAAAGATGACCAGGGTGAGGTTAAAGTGAGGTTAAAGCATGTTCAACCATGGTCGACTATATGACCATGGTGAACCAAGGTGAGAAATTCATGCTGACCATAGTTGACTACGGTGGAAAGCACATCTAACCACGGTTTGATCATGGTTATCCATGGTGAGCAATGATGACGATTGTTAACCATGGTTGCATTTTGACAGGGGATATTACCTTGCCTGACAAGCTATCTTTGTATCAAAAACGTTTAAAAGGTTTAATTAAAAAGTGAGAGTACTAATTGTTAATTCAGCAGTTTGAATTAGTGTTGGTGTCAGCTTTATAATGGCTTGATATTATTAGTTGAAACCTCTTAAAAGGACGAGACATATTTCTCTACAATTAGGCGTTTATTTCACTCAAATCCATAGGTAGTCCAAACAGCATAACGAACTTAACAAGTAGTTGTCTAGCAAGATAGGCCCACTCCCTTGATACGTCACCAATCTGTGTCAAATCATACCTAAAAAATTTAACTTGTCAAAGATATTGTTGATATAAACCAACACAAAATTCTGACAGAACTGGCACTTCTATCGCGTTCACAAAGCCACATTTAACATAAAATGTATTATTAAAATCAGATGAAAACTTTATAGTCTCTATAAGTATTCATGAACAAATTTTGACGCTTTTTTCTAAGTCAAGGACCATAAGTCAAAATCTGTTCAACGAAAAATCATTAAATTCCACTTGACCAAGATCTTATGAATATAAATGATCACACCAAATTTCGTCATGATCAGATGAAAACTGTACTCTCTATTGAGTTTACAAACATATTTTGATGTGTTTTTACTAAGTCAAGGGCAATAACTCGTTTATCGGAAAATCGTCAACTTCGAACATGACCAAGATCTCATCAATATAGATGAGCATACCCAATTTCATTAAAATCAGATAAGAACTGTAGTCTCTATCATATTTACATTGTGGATGGATTGACAGACTGACAGGGGTGACGACAATATACAACCACATAATAATGTAGGCGTATAAAAACCATATGTCATGTTTTTTGTTCGATCTACAAAGGAATCGCAATGTCCCTTTGAACATTCCCTGTAAAACGAAATGGCATTGTCTAACTGTAAAAAATAGTATTAAATATTAAATATATTTAAAGATAGCTTGCCAGGCAAGGAAACGGCTGTCAGAAATGAAAACTAAAATAGTAATACGAAATTCCTCATATTGAAAATCCTGACAATGCATTGGTACTTCACAAACAAATGTTTACGTGTCTTTACCAAGTCAATAACTCAAAAACCGTTCATTTAAAACAAGCTTAATATCGAATTTGACTGAGATCTCATTAATATATACCTGTATACTAAGTTTCATTAAGATCAGATACAAAATGTATCCTCTATCAATCCAGATAGCTGGCCAATGTAATATACGCTTACTTCAGTCATACTATTCTTTTGCACTTTCTGGGGCGATACAAGTTTTGTCAATATCCGCCAAGAATCATGCCTTTTAGCGCTTACGCCCTTAAAATTGAAAGCGTTTTCAAGAACAAGGTCAATAACTCCTATATAACATTTTTGATTTTCACCAAATTTTGTCAAAAACTTTCCAGAATGGTGCCTTCTAGAATGTTGACGAGCTTTAAATTGAACGCCTTTTCAAAAATTCTGATCTGTCAAGAATTGTGCTTTCTAGAGTGTGTATGGGATAAAAATGTAGACCATCTCTACCCGCATATCAAAACCGAAAAGTAGAAAAATGGTAGTAAAGGCTTTCGTAAACGGGGTGCTGAGTAATAGACGTCTAAAAATAACGACATTCATGCGACATTCTCACGTGACTTAAAGAAAATGTCAGACGTCGACAACTCTTCGAATGATTCAGAATATGAAGAAATTTTACTTCTTCTTTGGTTGTTGCGTCGTCGCCGACGAAGAATACTTGCAAGCTGTCGTAAGCTATGGATACGCCGATAGATTCAAAGACGCCAAGATCAAGGGGCATTTTCCAATCTTGTAATGGATACAAACATGCATTCACCGATGGGCGCAGCCATTTTTGTTTGATCACGTGGTAGCACATGCGCCTCAGTTCAAAGTTGAAAGCTATGAGCTTTCGAGTGCGCACACGGTAAGGTATTTTTCATTAGAGGAAAAAATTATCAAATACAACAGATAATTTCCTTAACGCCTCGAATGAAAAAAACTTTATGTAAACTCCGCGCACATGATAGCTACGAGCTGAGCTGAGCTGAGCTGAGAGGCACGAATGAAATTTCTCTCAGCTGGGAGCTCTCGTGTGCGCTAGCCTTAAGAAACTGATTAGCTGATATAAATAGACATTTTGCTGTCCAATCAGATGAAAGAATGTCTTCATATTTCTCAATATGATTTTTTTGAAAATTTAATATAATTATCTATTGTTTCACTGTTCCTCAAGAGGCAATGGGAATATAACTAATCTCTATTTTAATGACATTAATTATTCATAGTGAATTATTACCAACTGTAAGTTTATATTGCAGGTTTAAAACGGCCAAATTCGGGCGTAAATAGCCAATTTTTCAATGCAATTTTTCAATTGAAATATCGTCAAATATTTGAATGCAAATTGAATGATGCTGTGGAATAGTCAAATGGTAAGCATTATAGAAATGTAATATGCGATTTCGAAAATAAACTTGACTTAGCTCCCCCACTACTTAGTCTTATTTAAGAAAAAGATACTCAAAAAACACTCACTTATAAACAGATTGTTCTGGTCGATATGGTTTATCAACATAATATAAACAGCAGAATAGTATACCTCTCTGAAATATAATCAATTTTTACTGTTTAAAGCTATATTGAATCACTACACATCTAAAAATAAAACATGTCTTCCTAAAAAAGGTAATATTATGCCTATTGTGCTTTATTTACACTTGATTAAATCAAGTTTTCTAAAAAATAGGCCTACTTGTCTACCCTTGGTCCCCCATATTTACTATTACCTGTCACAATTCTTGTATACTTATATAATGACCAGATAAGACAATTCAATCGGTCAAAACAGAAACAAGCGGTTGCTAGCCAAGATACGCCCACTAGATATATATATAGACACAGCTTTATGGAACAACAATCACTGGTTAAAGTTTTATGCAACGTTTCGACATGTTTTCCCCGGCATTTTCAGACACATAATGATAACAAGTGATGGGCAAACTTTATATACATTAATGCTTATTATTGAGAACAGACAAAAGATAAATTGACAATGGGGGAAACACGCCGAAATATTGCCTATAACTTTAACCAGTGATAGATCTATATATATCGTACTCACAATAACCATGTAGCATGATGACGTCACCCATTTAACCAGCTGTGCATGCTGGGAATGAAGAGGGGTTTCTATCCGCCATTATTAATGTAAACAAAGTATCATACCAAGCCTACGGATCAAAGTTTACTTACCATGACATGAGGCATTACAAAAACGAATTGTTGTGTGCCTAATTGCCACGCTTCTAGCACAAGGCATTTCTTTCTCAAGTTTTATAGACTTCCTTGTGATCAGAAATTAAGAAATACCTGGTTAAAAAGCATCCGAAACACTACTCTGAAGCTGTCAAAATGGACGAGTGTATGCAGTATGCACTTTCGTGGTGGGCAGAAAACGTATGACATAACATATCCAACAATATTCCCATGGAGTCCTGAGTGGAACGAACTTGTCGAAGAACACAACAACCAAGTACAAAAACGGTATGATAGTCAACAACAACAAGACCACCATTAAACCCAAAAACCAGCTAGTCTCACACTCAACAGGCTTTCGTCTGCTGGAAAGCCCAGGAGGTTGAGGCGAACTAGAAACTCTTTGGGTACAGTGCCAGCGTCAGGGGCTAGAAAAACGCTAAGTGACAGTGCCAACTCAACCATTGGCCAGGATTTGGTCATTAACAACTATTTGGGAGATGTTACAGCACATGGAAATGCATTTGTCAGCCTTGCCAGTGAGGAAGAGTTGCATGTATGTTGTATCTAGTGACGTAGGATGCAGCTGTTTGGTCTGTTACTAAATTACATTCATACACCAAAATATTCATAATTTTGGCTTGTGAAGGACCATTACATTTTTTATAACAGGTTTCTTACTTTTTAGTGTATTTGTGTAAAGTGTAGCCAGTAAAATAGCCTTATTATTAGTCACAGATTATCAGTTGATCAATTACTTATTAGGATATGATCAACAATGTTCTTTATATTGTCAGTCTTCATCTAGGGACGACATTGATTACGAAGATGACCATGACGACCTTCATGAATCTACATTACCACAAGCAGTCGAAGAAACCAAATTAGTAAGATTGCTTTGTTTATATATGATGATGCTAGAAGTGCAATAGATAGACTAAGAGTTGTTCTCATTCAGATACAAATGTGCTAGATTGATGTCATATTAGATGAATGGTACCTTGATTGATGTAAAATATGATGTCCCAACATGTGAGTGCAAGGAAAACCATCTACATTCGATATTTTAGTGCAACAAAATTACATCATTTAAAGTTATTTACATTTTTCTTTTTCAGTTCACTGCATATTATGAAAGTACTTTCATTATGACAAAGGATGAACTTCAAGATTTACTTGGCCACATCGAGCGCTGGTTGGATACAGACACAAATGATATTGAGACTGTTAAGCGCCTGTTAAGAATTGTTGTTCACCTACTGCGTAATCACAAGGAACTATATGACACCCTTCTTACCCTTCATGACATCAAATTATTTCAAATTAAGCGCTTTAAAGGATCAGATGAGGATATACGATTTTGGACTGGATTTTATTCGTACGAAAGCTTTAAGCTATTCTGGACTCACTTTGTTGAAAAGAACAGCCAGAATATCCGCTGCTGGGGAGTTGACAATGCCAAAACTCAGGATTCTGACTTATGTGGTCCCAAGAGGAAACTTCTTCCTATTGATGAGTTGTTCATGGTCCTGTTGAAACTGAAAAGGGGAAGTGCGATCAAGGACATTGCTGAAAGATTTGGTATTCATGAAACTCATGTATCAAGAATATTCATTACATGGATAAATATTCTGCACAAAATCTTGTCAGCTGTTGACATATAACTGTCGAGAGGTAAAATTAGAAAACACATGCTGAATTGTTTCAAATCTCTCTACAAAGATGTTCGTTTGATAGTAGACTGCAAGGAGATTAGATCAGAGCGACCATCAGACTTAGAGGTGCAATGTGCTCCTTACAGCTCTTATAAGAGTTGTAATACCTACAAAGCATTAGTGGGAATCTCTCCTAGTGACAACTTTTATAAGCCAGTTGTTTGAAGGCGCTATTAGTGACAATGAAATCACAAATAAGTCAAAACTTTCGAACATTCTGCAGCCATCAGATGCAATTATTTCTCGTAAAGTCTCACTTACGAGATTATGTGAATAGGACTGCGCAGCCGTACAAATTCATTGTACATTGTACTGCTATTAGCCGAAGTGACAGGACGTGGTCTTGTTGACTTTCAGTATTTGTCCTGGTAATTATTAACGCGGTCAATAAACTTTAAATTAATTTAAATTAATTTACCAGTGTATGTGTTGCTGACGTTGTTAGTTACTTTATCGTTGTTACGATTGTTATTACGCAGGACGTTTTGGGTTAGAGGTTATCCGCCATTTTAGTTTTGCACACGCTGTGCTTGACTTGTTTACATCGTAACTATGGCTGAGATTCAAGTTTCTCAGGAGCCATTGAAAGAAAAACTAAGGCCCTCTAGAAGCTCGGTTACTGGTTCATCAACTAAAGGTGGAAGAAAGAAAGGTTTGAATTCCGATTCTCCGAAACAGATTGATAATATCACTAATTCTTTACCTGGTTGTAGTATCGGTAACAATAATAACAGCTCGACGAGTGTGTTTAAATCTAATATTTTTGCTTCATCATCAAAATCGAAAGACGGGCCGTCAGCCGAGCCTAGTAAGGAAAACCAAACTGCTCAGAACTCTCGTTTCGATAAATTATCCAGTAAAGTTGATGAACTTTACAATAATGACAATTATGACGATAACGAATTATTAGGCTACAATGATGAAGAGTATTGTGATGATGATTTGGATGTTTTACCGGGGAAAAAAGCAAAATGTCATCTGATATGGAGTTTCCCAGACGGGGAAAAAGTTGATGTGATGTTCCAATAAATCAAGACTTGGCATCTTTGATAAATAACTGGTTCAGAGATGGTGTAGATGATGATAGGTATAACGAATTGATAAAATCTATCTCCCGTCCTAAAAACTGTGAGTCTTTAGTGACGGTTAAAACTAATCAATTAGTGTGGGATTTTCTTAGCCAGTCTACACGTACGATGGACAAGCGAATGCAGAATGCTCAAAATTCCATTATTAAAGGAGCAGTTTCGTTGTCTAAAATTACTGACACTCTTGATAGTGGACAATCTATGGATGTAAATCATGTTCTGGAACAGGCAATGGAGTCCCTAGCTCTTTTTGGACATGCCAATAAACAATTATGTTTTATTCGTAGAGACATGATGAAACCCGATATGAGGGGCGAGTATTTACATCTATGTAGTCAAAATTTGAAATACACAGACAGTCTGTTTGGTGATGACGTTTCCAAAACTGTCAAGGATATATCTGATTGCTCTCGTATAAGTAACAAGATGGGTGCTTTTCAAGGTCGCAGAGGACGAGGAAGGTCTATCCATGGTAGAGGATTTAGAGGAAGATTTTTTAGAGGTCATTATCAAGGACGTAGCTCTGGAGGTTCCTATGGTTCATATGGTTCGGACATAAAAAACTTCCAGAAGAGGGGTCAAGGTCGACCCCTCTCCCAACAAGCTCAACAGAAGTAGTTTCTGAGGCAAGTATAAATGCCGGTAAGTTTCAAGCTGGCAGGCTCTGTTTATAGGGATATGCATGGGAGAAATTAACTTTAGATTATACAATTTTAGATATTGTTAAACATTGCCATTTATAGTTTGTTGATGGGCTTATCCCTACTCAATATAATTTGCCATATGAACCTATTTTCAGTGAGCAGCATTCTGCTGTAATCACTAATGAGGTTCAAAATCTTCTGGATATGAATGTGTTACAGGAAGTCCAATTTTCGCTTGATGGCTTTGTGTCTACAATTTTTGTAAGGCCTAAACCAAATGGTAAATTTCGTATGATTCTTAACTTGAAAGAATTAAATAAATTTATTGTTTATCACCATTTTAAAATGGATAATTTCGAAACTGCAGTTAATTCAATAACTCAAGATTGTTTTTTTCGGAAGTATTGATTTCTCCAATGCATATTATTCAATATATATTGCCAAGGAACATAGAAAGTTCCTTAGATTTATGTGGAAGGATGAATTGTATATGTACACTTGCATGGCTCAAGGGTTAGCTAGTGCGCCTCGAGTGTTCACACAGTTATTAAAACCTGTGTTCTCAACTCTTCGTCGTCTTGGTTTCATCAACACTGCCTACATTGATGATTCTCTATAACTAGGGGATACAGTTGAAGAGTGTCAGAATAATATTTCTGTGACTATTGCTCTTGTGGAGAGTCTAGGGTTTACAGTTTATTATGAAAAATCTGTCCTCAAACCATCCAAAGAAATAGTTTTCTGAGGAAATGTTATTAATTCCCATACAATGACAGTTACTCTAACAGAGAAGAGGAAATCCCGTATAATACTAGCCTGTAGTCAAATTTTTAGATGTTTTAAGGCAATGATTAGGGATGTTGCTAAGGTTATTGGCTCATTGGTTGCTTCGTTTCAGCAGTTCAATATGGGCCAATGCATTATAGAATATTAGAGAGAAATAAAGATAGGGCCTTAAAATGTTCAGGCTTCAATTTTGATGCAACTATGGTTATCTCAGAAGATATGAAATCTGAAATTCAATGGTGACTCATTAATTTAGACAGTCAATATAGAGTTATCTCCCATGGGGACATTCATTTCACTCTTACCACTGATGCATCTCTGTCAGGTTGGAGTGATGATTATAAAATAGATGAAATTCATTAGAATCAGAATTTCATATTAATTATCTTGAATTACTTGCTGGATTTCATGGTTTGAAATCTTTTAATATTGACAATAAATTGCATGGTAAACATGTGAAAATACTATCAAATAATACTCTGCTGTTGCTTATATAAACAATATGGGAGGTATTAATTCTGTATGTTGTGATATGCTTGCAAAACAACTCTGGCAGTGGTGCATTGGAAATAATGTTTGGCTTACTGCAAGTCATATTCCTGGAAAATCTAATGTAGCAGATTTTGCTTCCAGGAAATTCGATGACCAAACTGAATGGATGTTAAAATCAGATATTTTCTGTAAGATTTCTAGTTTATGGGGTTTACCAGACATTGATTTATTTGCTACAAGGCTTAATTGTCAGATTAAAACTTTTTGTATCTGGAAACTAGATCCAGATGCATCTTATATAAATGCTTTTACTTTTTCATGGCATGATTTTTATTGTTATTTGAATCCTCCTTTCAGCTTATTGAACCGCTGTGTTCAGAAGATTCGTCAAGACAAGGCGAAGTGTATAATTGTAGCACCAATATGGCCAAGTCAACCATGGTTCACGAGGTTACTCGAGTTGATAGTAGATATTCCAGAGGTTCTTCCAGCTCAAAAAGATCTTCTTGTGCAGGTATCAAGCGGAGAGTCGCACCCTCTATGGGAGAGTCAAAATCTTATGACATGTCATGTATCCGGAGTCAGCTCGGAAAACAAGGATTTTCTGAAAGAGCAACAACTATCATCATGGCATCTTGGAAGTCAGGAACCACAAAACAATATCAAGTCTTCCATAAGAGATGGTTTCAGTACTGTCAAGAACAGAATAATCCACTTTGCTCATCATAGAAACTGTCGTTAATTTTTTGGCATTTTTGTTTTCTGCTGGCCTTGGTTACATTGCTCTCAACACAGCCAGAGGGGCTCTCTCATCATTAGGACTTATATTTGATGGATTTTCTGTAGGTCGTCATCCTTTGGTTATAAGATTTTTAAGAGGAGTATTTAATCTTAGACCTACTCAAGTGCTTTATACATGCACTTGGGATGTGGCTCCTGTTTTAAAATATTTGCAGACGTTATCCCCTGTTGCAGAGCTTTCGTTAAAAATTTAACACTGAAATTAGTGATGCTGATCGCTTTAATTTGTGCTGCAAGAGTACAATCTCTTCATTGTTTGAAATTGTGTAATATGTTGAAGAAGAAATCTTCATTTGTGTTCGTGTTTACTGACGTGTTAAAAGTTAGTAGGCCAAATTTTCATGCGAACTTTGTTTCGAACTATTATCCTCCAGATTGGAGACTCTGTGTATATACTTTTATGAAACAATATTTGGAACGAACTGAGAATTTACGGGAAAATATGGATGGTCATCTGTTCATAAGTTACATTAAACCTCATAATTGTGTTTCGCGGGATACTATTGCCAGGTGTTGATACCAGTGTTTTTACAGCTCATAGTGTGCGCTCTGCCTCTGTTTCTAGAGTGAAACTGAGTAATGTGCCTATTAAAGACATAATGTCTAAAGCCAGTTGGACAAATGTCGGAACTCTCAGGAAGTACTATGACAAACATGTTGTAACTAATGAAGTGTTTTCTAACTCTGTATTAAAGGTTGAAAATTTTCCTTTGTTTGCTTTAAAGATTCACATAATCTCGTAAGTGAGACTTTACGAGAAATAATTAGGAAATTAAACAGTGATTCCTCTTTACTCGAATAATTGGAATCACACTTCAACTTTACCAAGGTAAATCTTGTTTAATTTCCTAATTATGGCTGACCGTGGCTGGACCTGTGCAAACTGGCTTGCCAAAAAGGAATAAGACTAGTCACCCCACACTTTTTAAGTGGAAAAAAACAAATGGACATACCAGAACTTGTAGAAAGTCTTTTTATAGAACGAGTCTGCATTCATGTTGAACGTTGTATGGGCCGAATAAAACAATGGCATTTTTTTAAAAATTAGGTCCCTTTAACATACTGGGCACAAATCTCAGACATTTCCAGGTTTGTGCTCGACTAGTGCTATTTTGCCACACATTTATATACCTACATTACCCTACTAAATTAGTAAACTTCAGTTATTGTTGTTAATGACTGTTAGTTATTAACTTATGTAAATAAATTAGTAAATTAGTAAACTTCAGTTATTGTTGTTAATGACTGTTAGTTATAAACTTTACTGATATAGAATATGATGTCATAGATTTATATACCTACATTACCCTATTAAATTAGTAAACTTCAGTTATTGTTGTTTATAACTGTTAGTTATAAACTTTACTGATACAGAATATGATGACATAGATTTATATATCTACATTACCCTACTAAATTAGTAAACTTCAGTTATTGTTATTAATGACTGTTAGTTATTTACTTTACTGATAGAATATGATGTCATAGATTTATATACCTACATTACCCTACTAAATTAGTAAACTTCAGTTATTGTTGTTAATGACTGTTAGTTATAAACTTTACTGATATAGAATATGATGTCATAGATTTATATACCTACATTACCCTACTAAATTAGTAAACTTCAGTTATTGTTGTTAATGACTGTTAGTTATTAACTTATGTAAATAAATTAGTAAATTAGTAAACTTCAGTTATTGTTGTTAATGACTGTTAGTTATAAACTTTACTGATATAGAATATGATGTCATAGATTTATATACCTACATTACCCTACTAAATTAGTAAACTTCAGTTATTGTTGTTTATAACTGTTAGTTATAAACTTTACTGATACAGAATATGATGACATAGATTTATATATCTACATTACCCTACTAAATTAGTAAACTTCAGTTATTGTTATTAATGACTGTTAGTTATTTACTTTACTGATAGAATATGATGTCATAGATTTATATACCTACATTACCCTACTAAATTAGTAAACTTCAATTATTGTTATTTATAACTGTCAGTTATTAACTTTACTGATATAGAATATGATGTCATAGATTTATATACCTACATTACCCTACTAAATTAGTAAACTTCAGTTATTGTTGTTAATGACTGTTAGTTATAAACTTTACTGATACAGAATATGATGACATAGATTTATATATCTACATTACCCTACTAAATTAGTAAACTTCAGTTATTGTTATTAATGACTGTTAGTTATTTACTTTACTGATAGAATATGATGTCATAGATTTATATACCTACATTACCCTACTAAATTAGTAAACTTCAATTATTGTTATTTATAACTGTCAGTTATTAACTTTACTGATATAGAATATGATGTCATAGATTTATATACCTACATTACCCTACTAAAATAGTAAACTTCAGTTATTGTTGTTAATGACTGTTAGTCATTAACTTATGTAAATAAATTAGTAAATTAGTAAACTTCAGTTATTGTTGTTAATGACTGTTAGTTATAAATGTTACTGATATAGAATATGATGTCATAGATTTATATACCTACATTACCCTACTAAATTAGTAAACTTCAGTTATTGTTGTTTATAACTGTTAGTTATAAACTTTACTGATACAGAATATGATGACATAGATTTATATATCTACATTACCCTACTAAATTAGTAAACTTCAGTTATTGTTATTAATGACTGTTAGTTATTTACTTTACTGATAGAATATGATGTCATAGATTTATATACCTACATTACCCTACTAAATTAGTAAACTTCAATTATTGTTATTTATAACTGTCAGTTATTAACTTTACTGATATAGAATATGATGTCATAGATTTATATACCTACATTACCCTACTAAATTAGTAAACTTCAGTTATTGTTGTTAATGACTGTTAGTTAT